GGGGGCAAAACACCACCTTAGCTTAGATTAACGTATATTTCCACAACTTTGTTGTATATGTACAATGACAATAAAGGGCTATTCTATTCTATATAAGGGTCTGTTCAGATTTCAGATTGTAAGGACCCGTGGTTGTTGCAAACATATATATAGAACATGTGAACATAGCAGTTAAGATACATTCACAAATGAAAGAATTATTTTTCGCCAAGATGGAATCAAAGTTAGAAGATGTGCCTGCTATCGAAATATAGGGTAAAAGGAGTCCTTGCATATCCTGCCTATTCCACATGATGATACAAACCCTGAAAGTTTACCTAAAATACATTTTTTCAAGTTTTCTCCAGTGAGTTGTGAGAACACAGATGAAACAATCAGGGTAGCAATGCTTGTTTCTGTTCCTCTACGTCATAGAGATTAAACTGGTGCAGTTTTGCTATTAAAGGTATGAGGTATTCCATGACAGTGATGCTCAGGGTTGGTCAGAAAGAAAAATGCAAGAAACAAAACAAAACAAATGTGACGCTTGGTGTAAAATCGATCTGGTCTTAGAAGCCCTGAAAATTTCATGTCATGAGTTACGATGCAGAAAGAAATGCTACATTTTGACCCACCCCTACGTACCTTGGGGACATGTAACTTGAAACATATTTGCAGTATGAAAGGAATATTACGCATGGCTTCATTTATTATACTTGAGTTACTACACAAAGACAACATCAGCTGATTCTGATGGGGTCAGGTGGGAGGGATCGGGTTTTCATGAAATGACCCATGAATGTTTTACGTGGTATAATCACACTTCTGCATCGGGATTTTTATAGTGACAGGAGGTTATGCAAAAGATGCCAGACTCACAGAGTTGTCACCTGACTGCAATTAATGGAGTTTTTAGCATGTGTGAGCTCATTATTTTGGTTTTATGCCTCAGTGCTCTCATGCACATTGCTGCCAATAGGAAAATAGTGGAAAAAAAACCTGTATGCTAACTGCCCAGCCCCAAACTGCAGACAGATTTAGCAGCTAGCTGGTGAATTTTGTAGAACATTTAAAAACGGAAATGTTTCTCCAGATATTTCTTTCAGTAGTTCTTCAAGGTGAGTGTATTCTTTTTTCAACTTCAGCCCGGTTTTCCAGCAGTGCTAACATTGTTAGTTCTGAAAGTGGCCAGTGTTCATCTTGTAGTGATGGGATTTCCGGCTCTTTTTAGAGATC